GTAATATCCCTGGGACTCACCCTTTCTCAGGACAAAGAGGACTTGATGCTCGTTGTTGTGCCTGAGGCGAGAAATCAGAAAAGGCTTTCCTTTAAGGATTGGCTGGCCAACTGCTGCATCAAACTTGACCCACAAAAATCTATATAAAAGCAAACAAAAAGATATAAACAAACATTAAAAAAGATAGATCAAGTCAAGAACAGAGTGGCAAGACCGCACATATAAGATTAGGCTTTCCCTGCATTTGTGTGAGATCTAAACGCTGGATAACGGAGAAATCCAGGAAGCACACGTGCTCCGGCCAGATCTGACCCCACTTCCAGTGCGCCAAGGTCACCAACAAGCGCAAAATTTGCTCGTAAGAGGACTTTGTGCCTCACAAACACGCCACCAAAAACAAGTAAACAATCGTAAACAAATCATCCAAAAACCAAAGAACTGAAGCCAACACAAAGCTCATCAAAATTCTACATACCCCAACAAAAAAAGAATAAAAAAGATATAGTTACTTGTACACTTCAGTATCATTCTAAAATAATTCTGAACTTTCATGAACTTTCTGTACGATGATATCGAGACGCCGTATTTCAATGGATGAAACTCACCCCAAGGATTGAGAAGACCCTCTTCGAAGTCGCACCAAAGCTGATCTGTTTCCTCGGCAACACGACTGTCGCACCTCTACAAAGCAGAATGTTTATGGAAACCTTACGAAATCTTTGTCGCGCGTCTGAAACATTTTTAAACATATCAAAATATATCAACAAGACCCCCCCGACATTTAAAACCAACTCTTAAACGACCGAAATCAAGCTCGGGAACTCGTGACCACCCCCAATACATTGCTAAAGCAAGGCAACTCAGGTAGCGTAACCGCCACCTTTAGTATCCTTTAGTGACTAGCATGATCTAAAATGAAATAAAATGAATAACAAGGCACCCCGTCTCCACCCATTGCCCGGAAATGCTGTAGAACTGGCTGTAGTGCAGGACATGGAAGGTCCGGTAGCATGTCCAAGTTCGCGCTGTCTGGGTCTTGACCAAGGTACCCAAACTTCTCCGAAGGACCGAGCTCAGAAAAAGCCATGGCGCTATCCTCCAAGCTCTGATCTTCTCCAAACTCTGCAACCCGTTCGGAGTGGTGCCCAACAAAGGCCATGGCCTCAAGCAAGAAAATCTTCCAAAAGCGGTATTGCGCAGCCCACGGGAGCCTGTAGAGCTCCAAGGAATTGAAGGCTGGAGTCTGGGCAATCTCCACAACATCTTTGTAGACCTGTGGGGCCGTGAACATCCGCGCTACAACGCCACAACCTTAATCAACCTTCTCTTCAAGACAGCCGCCCCCTCAGAAAAGCATATGAAAATATAAAAACAGATGAAAACAGTGGCCTGGTGAGGCAACCGTGTAACGTGATCAAACACCGCAGCATCCTGCAATAACTCCTCCAAGCATTTGGGCAGGCAAAGCATGGTCTCCTCCTCCGTGCCACCACCTCAGCAAAGATTCATGAATCCTGCCCTATCCACACAAACAGAAACAGTATTTAATTGCAAGGAACGTGAATTGCTAGAGGCCTTCAAATATTTGCTCCAATGTTCTCCCAAGAGCTCTCTTACACGGATATTGAATGAGTTTGAGCACAACTATCATAATTTCAAGAATTTTACCAAGGCGTTCAATCCAAGGAACTCTGTGCAGGAGCTGGGACTGTAGGCGCACCAACCTTCTTCTCCACAATCTTTGCAGGTTCGCCTAAAAAAACCGAAAGAAAAGAACAAACAAAAAGAAACAGACAAATATCAAATACATTCAAACAATGGTGAGGTATGTTGGTTGTCGTCACAAAGAATCAATAGACTTTTGTAAAAGAGTCAAAATTAATCACAGGAGGGTATGTGAGTTGTCTGAGACTTGCAAACTAATATCCATATATAACGCTCTCCCGATTCGTGTGAAGCAACCAAGGCACTCTGCACAGAAGTTGGCACCATGGGCACAGCATCCTTCTGCTCATCCTTCTTGGCCAAAGGCTTACCTTAAAGATCTTAAAGAAAGGACAGAAAACAACAGAAACAAACACATGTAGCGCACTGTGCAAAGACAAAGGTGAGGTATGTTGGT